AGAAGGGGGATTTTGCATAGCCAGTAGTTGAGATGAGGATGGGAAGACATTGCTGTGACTGAAAGTTGTCTTATGCTGGCCTGAAAAAGAAAACGTGCAGCCTGGTGAAATCCTGGCTCACTGAGTCTAGGATTGGCCCCCAGGGGTGTGAGCTTTTCTGCTAAGGATTGGAGGCCAGCAGCATCTCTGGAGAGCTTGGAGTAGCTGACAGTAAAGTTTTTTCTTGTGCCACAGTTTTGAGGTGGAAAAAAGAGGAACATTCAAGTGTGCAGTGTGGAGACACACCTGGGCAAGAGGTGTAATTCTACAGGGCAACCTCCAGCTCTACCTGAGGACCATTCCCTACCCCACCTTTTCCAAGAGTGTGGAGAATGTGTGCCATCCTGTTTTTGGTTTTTCTCCTTTCCTGTTTTCTTCCTGGGAGTGCTGAGACACATTGCATAAGGATGAGCTCTGTGAATGAAGTCTTAGTAATCACTGCCTTGTTCTGCTTCAGCAGAATCTGACATTATTATAAAACTAGGAAGACATCAACCCTTGTAATCCCCATTGTTTATTATTGCTGTTTCCTTGAAATAAACACCCAGGAAGCACCTGAGGATGTTGGGCCCGAGCTGCGGGACCAGGCCAGAGTTTCTGCTGTTCTGTTACATGCCAGCCCTACAAAGCAGTGAGGCTACATTTGGTTGTGACAGGTCAGGGCCCAGGTGAGATGAAGGGACAGCCATTTTTCCCACTGTTAATTAACTGCCAGTCTCAGGGAAGCACCCAAGTAGTATATCTTACTTTGATGGATTAAGTGTAAAGTCTGGGTGATCTTTGGGGGTCTTGGAGTGGGAATCTTTCTCCTGAGGGGTGATGCCCAGGAATGGATTATAGTGGAAGTGATGATTTATGTTTGGCTCTGGAGGAGAGGTCATTGAAGTGGGACCAGCATCTCAACCACTTCACCTTCCAAGTTATAGTTCACTCATTTGGGAATGTACCTGCCATGTCTTATTCTATGTCAGCTTATTCTATGAACCAACAGAATTGTTTTATGAAATATTGCATTTGCTATATCCACTGTTTATATTGTGCAACTGATTTCACCCAGGGCCAGAACTTTGCCTTACTCGATGATCCAGCAGGATGTATACTTTGACTAGTGAGAATTAAAACTCTCAGCTGCCATGAACCTCAGAACAGTGTTCTTGGATTTCAAGATGCCTAAAATCACGGGAAGAAGTTAAGACCCTTCCCTCTTAGCTAACTCCTAACCATATACTATGGATATTTGAGGTGCACAATCTTTCTCTTTTGTAGAATTTCACACGGATGTGTTTGTACTGTTATTTGAATCAACCCTCCCCTCAGTAGTTCTACCCTCTCACCTAAAGGTCATACTCTCTTTGCCAGCTGCATTCTATTATTACTGAACACAAATGCCACAACTGAGGTGTGACAGCTGAGTTGGCTATGCCAGATGGCATGGGTATTATGTAGTCATAGTACTGTGGAAGTGCATATATATATGCATGTGTGCTTGTATGTACTTAATATGTAATATATAATATATATAAGCTTGGGCAGGGTGGAGCTATGTGATTTTATCATGCTGCTCAGAATATACAGTTTAAAATACAAATTGTTTATATTTGAAATTTCTCTTTTGGTAATTTTGGATCCTTGACCATAGGTACCTGAAGCAATGGAAAGCAGAGTCTCACCAAGCAAGAGTATTGTAGTAGACCTAAATTTAAATCAGAAGTGATTTCATAGGCCAATTCCCCCTGAATCCTCTTGCCTCTTCCCACTTTTTAATGTTGTCTAAGCTCCGTTAGAATTCTTGCCTTTATCTTTTTGTTACTAGGGTTTTATGTTTAGCAAAAAACATGCTTTGGAAGTAGGAAAAGGATAATTTGCCAAGGAAATGGAATATTGAAAACAATGCTTGTTTGCATTCTAAAGTCTATAGCAACAGGGAGTCTCCCAAGAGTGGGTGGCAGCTGCTGGCTACTGGTTACTTGAGATGTTCCTGCCAATATCCTGTAAAAGCCATAACTACCTGAGTTTTAGCCTGAGGGCCTGTACCTTTTTCATCAGCGAGCTGAACGATGACTGACCAGGCAAGACTGGGGACTTGGTGACTAGGCCTACTCTGACCCAAGTGTAGTCTGAATTGGATTCAGAATTGTAAATTGTTGAAACTATCATTTAGCCCATTTTGGTCTATCAAAAAACAAGACAGGATTTAAGGGGTTACATAGCTAGACAGTGGCAGAGTAAGCTGAGAACTAGGATGAAAATAGAATCTGGGGTTATGGAAAGAGGTGCTTTATAGGAAAAATAGATTCACACTAGCTGCAGTCCCAGAAAAACCTGAGTTTCACTTTCTCTTACAAATGGCAAAGTTTAAAAATGCAACATTTATCTCCTTTAAATGCTGACGCCTTAACTAGTGATTGAATCATTCTAAGAGACACCTGAACCCTGGAATATAATCTTTGTCCCAAACAAAAGACTTTTATCCCAAGCTTTGAACTCTTAAAATGGTTTTGCTCAAGGCTCTTAGGAAATCTTGTTAAAAATATTTTGACAGCCTATGTGGAGCAAGATTTGATTTTGCATTTAAATGGGCTCTTAGGTGAGGCTAATGCAACTGGCCCTTATTCCATGCTGGAGTGGCCAGGGTTTGGATACAGCATTAGAAGAAGTGAAAAGTTTCAGATTGACTCTGGTTCTTCTGAGTTGCATTTATGGTTGGCTGTATCAGGGGACCCGAAGGCAAGGCACTGGCTGGGAAAAAGAAAACCCTGCTAAGGAGCCTTTCTGCCACATCCTGAATTGTTCATCGTAGGAACAACAGAGAGATTGTTAATTCAGAATACTTGGCAGGGAAATTTTATTTAGGTGTACTTTCATTACAGTGATCAAAGCAGTTATGCTATTCTTAATAGGCCAATAGGATATGTTACTAATAGGCTTTGTGAGGTGCCATCTGTTACTTGACAGCTTTGTTTACAGCAGTAGTGGCTTTTAGGATATGCTGTCTAGCATGGAATGTTAAGTTCAATTGAAACTTTTGGTGGGGGGTGGTAGGCCTCACAATCTTGGTACTTTACCTTAAAATTGTAGATCTTGGGTGTTTTAATTTTCCTGAGCCTCTATTCCCATATGCAAATCATACTTGCAATTTCATCCTTGTATGTATGTATGTATGTATGTATGTTATGTATGTATGTGTGGTATGTATGTGTATGCATACATTGGAGGTCAGAGGTTGATGTTCGATGTTGTCCTTTATCATTCAATTAATTTTTGGGATAAGGTCTCCTAATTCAGCTACTCTGGCTGGCCATTGAGCTCTACAGACTCTCTTGTCTCTGTACCTTATCCACTCCTGTGTCCAGCTTTCAAAAAAAAGTGTATGCTGGGCATGCAGGTGGCTAGAGGCCAGAAGAGGTCAGATCCCCTGGAGCTAGAGTTAATAGGTACTCAAGTTATGTGAAAGTCTGCTCAATTGCTCTCCATTATTTTTTGTTCTTTCTCTTGTTATACCTGATTTTGGCAGACAAGCTGCTCTGACATTTGAAAACTGGCTTACCTTGATATTATACACCCATGTTGATGACAGCTGTTAGGGTATCAAGACCCAAGTCTCTAAGAGCAGATATTCTCAGGATACAGTTGACACTTTCGCATAGTAGTACAGATTTATTTAATCCTTATACACTTTGTTAAAACACATATACATTAGTTGTGTGTGGGAGGAAGTAAAGTGATTAATGAATTGTTCTCCAGTCTCTTTCCTAAGAAATGGTCTTAATATCAGGTGGGCTGTGGTGGTAGGTCTTTTGAGTTCTTAGTGCAATTAGGGTGTGTTTGTAGTTTAGTGTTTCCTTGTAACTTTTGACCACTGGCCTTCATCTGGAGTTGTAGTATGTCCTTGCATAAATCAGGCACACCGAATCCTGGCTTCTTATACTCTCTGCTCTGCCTAGGAGAGGTTTTAGTTTGTTGCTGTCTCTCCTGCTGTTGACACTAAAAACAATCTTTCAAGGACCAAAGTGGTACGGAGTCTACTGGATTGAATCTCAGTAGCTCCTGTTCCACAAATAAAACTTAAGGACTTAATAAGCTTTTTGGCTTTTCACAAATAAGTTGTTCTCAGTGGCCCTAAAGTATTGGTCAAGTCTTAAATCCCAACCTTGTTGTATATACATTATCTTTTCTCTTGGGATGGGGTTGTTGGGGAATCAAGCCTAGGGCCCTGTGCATACCAGGCAAGTGCTGTACTACTGATAACTCTAGCCCTCTGTTCTCTAATTCTATAAAGAACATGCCAACCTTAGTAACACAGTTATGCTTGGTTTTGGAGGTAGCTCCAATTTTTGGCAAGTCGTTTAAAACATAGTAGGCCCAAGTTTACCCTAACCTGTAAAATTTAGGTTCCCTCTTTAGATACTTTATAGTATTGGTTAGGTTAATCAGTCTGGTGCCAAGGCTATGGCTCGCAACCTGAACACCATTCCCCCTCTCATACCATTCCCAATAGCACATGGGCTCCTCAGTTGACCTCCTTTTTCATAACCTTTTTTGTGGTGATGCCTTGCTTGTACAAATAAAGCCTGCCTGAAGGTCAGAGAATGGAGTTTGCCACTAGCTAATCACTGAGGTAGGTAAAGGCAGTCAGAAGTGACATAGCTGGGCAGAAACAGGATATAAGGAAGGAGAAACAGGAACTTGCTCTCCTGTCTGCTGAGATGCAAAGGAGGTAAGGTGTGGCATTGGCTTCTTTTCTCTCATCTCTCAGCATTTTCTCTGTATCTACTCTGTGTTTTTATTACTTAGACCAATTAACAACTCCATTTACACGGTTCCATATTTGCATTAGTGCAGTTTTCTTTGAAAGATGTCAAAGGGCCAGTTTTTGTCTCTTCGTTCTGTAAGATTCCAGCTTCCATTCTAGCAGCACCCGGAAACAAGTCATGCAACTTACAAACTCTTGTCTCTTTCAGGACCGAATCATCAATTTAGTTGTTGGTAGCTTAACCACCTTGTTGATTCTAGTAAGTATCTTATTTATTTTTTGCTTTCATACTCTTGACCAGTTTTGAGAACTTTATTATCAATCCTCCCAAAACAAGACTTTTAAATCTTAAAGAGGGCATGAACATATAGACATTCCAATCATAGTCACGTTCAAAAGAGTAAAATCAGTCAACTGAGTTGGCTATGGTTATCTGTGTAGTGTATCTGTAAAATGATACTGGCACTAATCATTGACTATTACCTCTCCCATTTCTTTTAATGACTTAAATTTACTCTGGCCAGATTTAAAGATTCAGAGAGTATATTGTAAAATTTAAAGTTATGTATAGCATATCACAGTATGTGTGATCAAAGTAAAAACTTACAGTTCATAAAGGGTGAAAACCAAGAATAAATTTGCTAAGAGAACAAACCTTAGTTTCTCCATTGCTTTTTAATACAAGGTAGAAACAAAATGGGGATTAGAAACCTTTTAGTATTTTTCACAAAACATAGCCAAACCAGCTTTGTATATATTCATCCTTTTTCTTTTAATTTTGTAATTTTAATTTCCCATAGCATCTTGGCAGTGCTGAAAACAAATACAAAGATATTAACAGATTATGGATGAGTATGTGCCATACCAGTTTGGAGCTTTCTAATCTGTGTATTGTTCCAATTTTAGTATATTCTGCCAAAGTGAATAGCATTCACTTTTGGTAGGACTATTTATAATATAAAGAAAATTGGATCTTTTTTTAGTATTTATTAATTTTGGCAATGGGATTTAAATGATTGCTAATATTTGTTAATGAAGATATTTCTTTTTTGAGACTGGTTTTGTTTTCTTTTGTACCTGCTGGAAACAGAGGTGTTAAATAACTTGAACATGATTTTATAATACAAAATGTATTACCTTGCCTAGCTGCAGTCTAACTATACCTTGGAATTATACTTAAGGCTTTTGCATGTCTTTCCATACAGGTAACACTGATCAGTGCTTTTGTTTTCCCTCAACTACCTCCAAAACCACTGAATATATTTTTTGCTGTCTGCATCTCTTTGAGTAGTATTACTGCCTGCATACTTGTGAGTACCACAGAATTTAAATGTTTGTAAAGGCTGAATATGGTAGAGCTTAGGAAAGACTTCTTGCTCCTGGTCTATATGAAAGGACATCTCTCCTTTTTACCTCTCATCCCCAAGGATACTTACCAGATTTTACCAAGGGTAATCAGAATTAACCCTTTTTCCTCAACCCAAAGTTACATGTTTACCCATCAAGGAAAAAGTTTCTTCAGGCTTTTTAAGAATTGCCACAGTACTTCAAATGACAGAAAGTCAGAACTGGTCTGTGCACAGCGACTATACATAGGGCTCAACAGTCTTACAGGAACACCCTGGGTCACTTCTGGTAATTCTTATGGGTTTACTCGGATCTGTGTTCTTCCGAAAATCACATTTCCCAGGAAACTTATGGCTATTAAGTTGTAGTTCTATTTGTAACAAGATGGCTATAAATACAAACAGACCCCTTTGTGTGCTAAAAACACCATTACTTAAATTCTTAGATTTTGAGTTTGCCTTTCAATTCATGAAACAGTAATACCTTGGGGTGAGGTTGAGGTTTGGTGGGAGATTTGACCTACAAAACAATTTTTAAAAAAGTAGTAACATTAAAAAAAGTAAATCCACATAGGTTTTAAGCCATAACACTTAAGTAGAACTAGTCTAGGTTGAATCTACTTGGATTTTTTTTTTCTTGTCTTCTGTGCTCTGCAGCCCTGAGTGACCAAGGCTGAGATAGTTAAATTATGTATTTATTTACATAAGCTTTTATATCTGAATCAGTTACATAAATCTAAGTGCCTGCCTTTCTAGTAATTCAGATATATTAAAAATATATCTAGACACGTGTTCTCATGTGTCTTGATTGGTATATGGCTTTGATCATTGAACAAAATACAACACAAAAACAGGAATATATATGATCTTGGACAATGGAAACACATAAAGAATTAATGGCTGCAGTGGCTTCAGGAATGATGATTAACCGAAGACTATCAGAATTAGTTGTATTTTACATTGTAATAGTTGGTCATTACTTAAATTCTTATTTGATTCTTCTTTTAGATCTACTGGTATCGACAAGGAGACTTAGAACCGAAATTTAGAAATCTAATTTACTATATCTTATTTTCTATCATCATGTTATGTATATGTGCGAACTTGTACTTCCATGATGTGGGAAGGTGAAGCTGCCGACAAGAAATACTTACCAGGACACTATCTATGTGAATTAACTGCTGGAAACAAGTATGCTGAAGAATCTCTGCACAAGTGTGGCACATGATTATCACGTTCATTGTAACTCTGAATTCCCTCTTGCAAGGGAGCTGTATCATAGATTTCCGCTTTTCTAAAGAAGCTGAAACATTCCAGCCCTCAAATGGCAAAGTCTTTTCACTTTTGAAATCAGTTTTTTTTTTTAACAATTTAATTGCATGGCTCAATCTTACATTTTAAGACAAATACTCTTTTATTTCTGTTAAACTGAATTTACAATTATTGTTCCCTAGGCAACCAACTTTTGCTTATTACTACAGTTTCACATTAATAAAACAAAGATGGTGAAAAGACAACTTTGATTGTGAAGACCTAATTACAATAATAAATAAAATAATTTATACAAGTTTCCTTGTCCCCCTCCCCCCTTTTTGGACTTTTTCTATAAGGATCATATCATTAAAGCCCTATAGGCTTATTTTGGCTTTACCCTTAGGAATGACTCTTGATTTGTTTTCTTTTGATACAGAAGCAAATTTTGTGTTTTTTAAAAGTGCCTGAGGGAGAAGCTATACTGCATCCCCAACAGGTAATGCACTAAGTGAACAGCATATTCTAATACCCTTCAACTATTTTTCTGGGCAATTGATATAATAAAACATGTAATAAAAAGTCATGGTTACCAGACACAGGCAATATCCCCTCCCCTCACTGAATGAGATCAAAGTGCTAACTGTAAACTACTGGCTGTCTCTGATGAGGGGTGGTAACTGCTTTGCTATGGTGTGTTTTGTTACTCCATATTCCCTTTAAGAGTTAAAGACAAAGACCTGTAGTGGATTTTCTTGACTCTAATTTAATGCTTTTCTCTTTACCTCTCCTCAGTCAGCTCCCACTGCCAGCAATGGGGTAACCAAAATAACAACCACCTTCCATGTTCTTGTATTGAAATGCTGGTCATGTCTCTTGAACTCCTAAGTCAGTCGTTCTGAAGGTCACTGTTAACTAAGCTGGACCATGTTGATAATATAACCTGAACTATAACCAGGCCAACTTGAGTCTGGACAGAGTACAGTGTCTTAACTGCAGACATGAGTGTTACTGCTTGCAAAAAGCCAGAGCAGTTAAGCTTTGGTGATTTGAGTAGCTGCAGTGAATGCAACTCTTCCCTCTTGACATAAAACTTAAAACAGGTCTGGGCAATTAACACTTCCTTTACTCCATAACACATTGTCATAAATTGGACCTCAGATGATATACTTAAAAGGAGGTTAAAAAGTAACAGCAGCAACAATGTGCATGACTTAAGCAAAGTAGCTACGTACAAGCCAGAGGAATGGCAAACCAGAACTCTTGGGATTGCTCCTTTCTTTGGAGATAATGTAATCAACAATGTGGCTTCTTTACTTGAAGTACCTGTTCCTGACACTTTAGTGACAGTTTACCAAGTCCTCAACATCTTTTGAATCTTCAGAAACAGGACTGCCTAAAGATGATCCGATTATATTTGATTCTTCCTGGTGATGTTGGAATATGGGATCTGTAATGAGTTAAGTTTAAATAAAGTTAGTATTAGTCGTACTTTACTTATTATCCAGTCTTAACTATTTTACCAACATGTAATGTAGTATTAGGCAACAAGAGAACACTGATAGATCAAGACAAGATTAACAAGACTGGATAAAACTGCCCCCTCCCCCCTCCAGTTTACCAGGCTTATGATTAAGAGTCTTAGTATAGTACCTGTTAGTGTTGTCAAAGGCAAGACAGATTCAGTATCTATAACATCGGCTGCCTGGATAAAGCCATGTGGTGAAGGAACGATAAGTATTGTTTCGTCATCAATTGTTTGATGGACTTGGTGTACTATGGTGGGAGACTCTAAGTCCTAAATAATATTAAAAGAAGGAAAGAAAGAAAAAAGAGAGACTTATATTCCCCAAGTATATCCAGGTCTATTAGCACTTAAAACATCCTCCATTTTAAAATTAGAACATAAAGGTTAAAGCCTTAAAAAGATGGGTGAGTCTATGAACCTCAATAGTCTTCTGATATAATGAATACTGATAAAAAGGAACTTAAGCCAACCACTGTGCACTGTGGGATGTATGTAAAATCTATTATTACCCATACCACCCAAAGGTGATCCAAGAGTGGACCCAGCTAACAAATGCCACTCAATCTGTTACCTGTGGAGTGGGGACACTTCAGCAAGGAACTATGCTCAGGTATATCCAGCAATAAGAGCTGGTCCACTGATACTTTTTGAGTTTGTACTTTGTGAGTCTAAAGAAAAGAGGGTACTAGATCAGTGATTCTCAAACTGGGTGGTTTCGAACCCTATGGGGACACATACCAGATATTACACTTGATTCATAACAGTAGCAAAATTACAGTTAGTTATGAAGTAGCAATAAAATAATTTTATGGTTGGGAGTCACCACCACATGAGGAACTATATTAAAGGGTTGCAGCATTAGGAAAGTTGAGAACCCCTGCCGTAGACAGTATCTCTCCTTAAAGTACCCGTGAGGCCCAAGGCAAAACCCATAGGCTGCAGCTGTGTGCACAGCTTACCTCAGTAACATAAGCACTGGCTAAGTCAGAAGGCGGTTCTTCCTGCTTAAGGTCAGTATCGGCAATTTCTTCCTCTGGTCTGACCATAACACTGTTCATCAGTTCTGTGCTATTTTGGTCACTGAATTTAGAAACATTAGTATTAAATGATGGTTGTATAGTCATCTTAGGCCGAGGAATTTCATCTGGGAAAGTGTCTGCTTCTAGTGCATCTGGAGGCTCAGGGAAATCAGATGAGTGAAGATCACTGTCAACTGTCAGTTCTGCTTGGGACATTGAAGATGCGATGTCTTCTGTAGCAAGAGTTTGAATAATGACTCTTGGTGTGTGACACTGCACTGTGACATTGTCACTTGTGTTCAACAGATGTTCTGGCTATAAAATAGTAAAGGAAACTATCAATGACAAAGAACTAGCAGCCTGTCCTTTCATACCTTTCACTTCTGCAACTACTTTTATCATCACTTTTCTAGTGTCTGTGTTTACTTCCCATAGAATGGCTTCCTCTTGTAAATTCTCTGTTTGAATGGATACCCATCTACTAAAAGGGCAACAGTGGAGATTAGAGGTATACCCAGTGAAGAATTAAGTTCAAAATACTGCACCGGGGACAAGTGATATGAGAAGTACTCTGATATCCAACCCAAACTACATTTCTATCAACTAATCCTGACTTATAATAGACATTCAAAAATTAAGTATAATTATATAACATACGGATAAAGCATGAACAATGATCTGTTCAGGAGAAGCAGGAGCAGCAGCTGCCAGGGTTACTGTGGGACTTGTGGTCAGAGTTAGGGGAAGGCCTTGACTTGAGCTTGTTTGAAGAAGGTAGGTACCTGGAGTACCAGTGGGCTGTAAATGGAAAGACTAAAGAAGAAAAAGAGGTTCAACACAGGTACAAAAGCCTATGGATTGATTAAGTCTACAACTGCATTGAAGAAAACCGAATTTACTAGCTAGCGATGTACTTGCCAATCCTATTTCTAGTTCTGGTTTAAACTAAGTTTCCACAAGCTACCATGGGTGATGTGGGAAACAATCTCAATTACATCTTTAAAACTTTTATCTGTGGTAAATAAAATCCAGCAAGATGCTCAGTGGCTTAAGAGATTTGCCACCAAAACTGAATTTGATCCCCAGAAAGAGAACTAAGTCTTGTACGTAATCCTTTGACCTCCATCAGGACTAAGCCATGCAGCAGCCTCCCCCCTTTGCCCCTGCCAATGATGAGATGCATCAACAGCAGCAGCAACAACCACAACAACAACAACAGTCTAACACCACATTTTTGGAAAGGTACATTGGCAGTGTTCATTTAACTGAAATGTTTTTATGGATTAATAAGTAAAATGAAGATGCCATTTGAAAAGGATCTTAACTAGCAGTACGTTTATCTTTTTTTAATACACCCCACCAATCAAACTATACAAAAATTCTGAACAAGATTTATAAACTTATTTATAAATATATATAAAAAGGAAAGAAAGCTTTTAATAATTTACAAACCTTAGTACAGACACATTTTAGAAGTCAAATATAGCCACATGCATACTTTATTAAATAAGAATTTAAATATATTTACCTTTTTGAGATTTTGTAGTGACAGAATTATCCACTAATAGGTTTAAAACCAAAGTGTCTATATGAGCCAGGGTTAACCTAACAAGCTACAGAGTTAAGTGTTTTGTACTTTAGGGAGAGGTAAACTGGAAAGTCTACTATCTTGGCCAAAATCTTTCCTGTGTCCTGGATCCCTGAATACAGATTTTCTTAATGCTAATGAGATAATATCTACATTTGATGCAAAGGGCTGGTAGAATTACAAATGATTATTAAAGGGCCTACCACCACTGGGAACTCACTTTTTCTCTGCTTCCCCCCAAAGTGAAAACCAGTAATTTTTTTAAAGGTTAAAAGTGTTTATCACAGCTAGGGATCCACACTAATACCATATATAAACACATTTCAATTGTTTTAATAAACTGAAGTCTCTATATATTAAGAAAATTATGGTGTTTTGCCTGTTGTTTGTGCACTCAATGTGCCTGGTGCCCACAGAAGTCAGAAAAGGGTGCTAAATCCCCTGGAACTTAATTGTGAGTCACCATGGTAGATGCTGGGAACTGAACTTAGGTCCTTTGGAAGAGTGGCCAGTGCACATACAGCTGAGCAATGTCTCTAACAGCAGGCTCTTAAAAATATTTTGCTGTGACCTTATAATTAAAACAAACATTTACCTTTCTCCAAGTAAAATAAGCATAAAATAAAATTCTGTCGCTATCAGTGCATTCCTACTCTGAGTTCACTACAGTCTCAAGCCCAGAGATGGAAATAGATTTTTTAGGGAATGGGGTGATATTCAAGGGATTTAGCTAAAGGGTGTTGGCTAAATTATGGTATTCACAATACAATAATAAATCTACAAAATAAATCTCGAAGTAACGTTTGTGCTTATATTTTCTTAATAAAATAGGAACTAACTTGGGGCTTGCTTTAGGAAGGAGGACATGACTGGGACTTGCTTCTTGAATTTTCATTGCTCCTAAAGAAAAACCTATACATTTAAGTCATGACCCCTCACACCTCACAACTACAGGCAATAAATATTTACTTGAATCATATCCAGATGTATGTTTATTTGGAGAATTTCAAATAAGTGAGAACCACAAGAGAATCTCTCGCTTATGGAGCTACATATAGGTAAATCCACTGGTAAGCCACAATATATTTTTAATATACCTGACTCACTGAAGAACAAGCTGGTATATTATAGATAAGTGGTTGTTTATCCTAGCAGCAGTACAGCTGACTGCAGCTTCAGCTTCTGCTACCACCCAGCACAGTAATCACATTGCTAGCCCAAAATCCAAAATCAAGCATTCAGGCATGAATTTTCTGTCAACTGATATTTTCATTTCAGATAAATTTGCAGTTAGAATACTGTCATTTATACCGAGTGTATAGTAGGGGCAAAACTGCAAATGCATGTGTGGGCTAGAGGGCGACATAGGTGTCTTCCTCAATCTCTCTCCAACCAGTCTCTCACTGAAATTGAGCTTACTCACTTGGTTAGACTGGCTGGTCATTAAACCCCCAACGGTGTGATTATAGGTTTTTGTATGCTGCCATGCCCACATTTTGGTGCTGGGAATCCAAGGTCCTTGTCCTTATAAAACAAACACTTTCTATCTCTGAGCCATCTCCCCAACTCCTGAAAACTGCTTAACATTTTTACAGGTAACAAGATTTTGCAAAACTGTAACCATAAGCACTGAAACTATAAACATTTTGTATCCAGTGACTAGCATAAGACCTTACTCAACATATTCAATAAATATTACCAATAGCTTATGAAGTGTCCACCAACTTTTCCTTAATAATCAGTTTGACCTGAGGCAGTACAAATCTTTAACACTATTATTACTCTCATTTTCAGATTAAAAAAACAAAAAACAATGTATTGCTTTATGTATACATAGAGAAAAAGCAGAATGACAATGACATAAAAGTGGACGTTCCATTTAAGTCTAGTCTATCCAGTTGGTCTCAGAATCCTAATTACAGCTACTTATATAATAATTTTGTAAGAGAAACCTGACCTTTCTTTTGCATAAAGACAGCCAATAACTATTATCTGAAATATTTATTACTCACTGGAAGAATCTCAAATGTCTGTAGTGTTCCACTGTTTAGTGTTATTGTTTCTGAGTCAACAGAAGCAGCAGGGGAATCTGTGGAAGCTGTAGCAAGAACAAGGACAATAATAAAATGCTTTGTGAAGTTTTTCCAATGGAACCAGCTTCATGAAGGAAATCTCACACTGAATGAATCATTTGCCTGCAAACCTGAAGTTACAGAATGGACTTATCTGCTGGGATGGCACAAAGATCAGACGTACAAACACAACAGCTAACTTTAGCCTACTGCCAGTTGAACCATGCCCACCCATGTTTTTTTATGGTTGTTTTTACACCTCATAGAAAGCAATAGTGTTATCGTAAGGCTTATAAGCCAAAGATATTATCAGAACCATATGAGAGGTTTGCTATAACTCTTGGTGTGTATCTGGAAGTATTTTAAGTGTTAGGAAGCAAGAGGAATATACCAAGACTAATCTAGAAAGAGAAAAAGAAAGGAACTTAGATTAACAAAACTTTCTGGAAATTTTAATAAGCACTACAGATGTGGGCTAGCACGTTAGGTATTAGTTCTAGTAACCTTGCCTTTTCCATGGCCACTGGAAAGTGACTGTCCTTCCTATATAGTTATGAGGAACAAAGCAATTTTAAAATCAAAAGAATATATGATAATTTTTTTCAGAGCAAAATCAAGAGACTGGGGTGAGAATGCTAACAATAATGAGTGGGATACAAAACTCTTACTATACTCACATACCTTGCTGGAAGTAATAAAATACTCTTAAAAAGAGATGGTATGAATGAATATTAAGTTTCTATTTATAAAATATTTGCTGTCTTCCTAATGGATAATGTCATCCTAATGACAGCTAACATTATCTATGCACAATTTATACTCAATAATAGCTCATCTATTTAGGCTAGGAACTCCTGCTACTTTGCAATTCTTAAACTATAAAATAAAAAACATGGGAGGGCCAAATAAAGAGTAAGGCATGTCATTAGTACAAATGTCTCCAAAGCAGCTTTGTTTTGTGGTGCAGGTGATCAAACCCTGGGCTTCACCCATTCAAGGCAAGTGCAATCCCCCCTCAAAGGTACCTTTGATAGTAATTACATACAGATATATGGTGCTCATAGTATCAATAGGTACCCAGTGTTTGTCAATGAGGGCATGGTGTGTGTGGGTGTGTGTGTGTGTGTTTATGTTCGTCCTAATGACGGAAAGCACTATTAGCATCTTGTAGATGAGGTCAAGAAACACTGAGCATATTGTAATTGGAGGGTATCCTGCAAAGACTTACTCAAAATGCAATAAATAATAAAATGCCCAAGTGTAAACAAGGAAGTGTATACTTATGGGCAATAATCTTTTCATAGGCAAACAGCATCATGTAGGACCACCACCACCACCAAAAAAAAAAGGGAGGGGGAGGGGAGGCTAATGGTAAAGGTAGTTCCAAGCATTGGAACTCATTTATTTTCTGTCACTAAAATCAAAGAAATATCAGAAAGGGGGTTGGAAGGTAAACATGGAACTGAAGTGAAAAATCTTTTCTCTCTATTGCTGAGTCACTAAAGTCTTCTAAGCATAAAACTGTGACAAAGATAACCAAGATTAAAAAACACTTCCTCGTAGCAAAGTGGCCCTTTACTACCTCAAATATTTTTTGATCTTTATAAAGATCCCATTTTTAAAATACACTACCTCAGACCCACCACTATACTGTTTGTATTCTGGAGAAATTATAAATGACATATCACATTGAATACTATTTCTCTGCTTGCTAATTTTTAAAGGATGTCTTCTACTAAATAGCGATTTCATGTCACACTGAACGCTGTCTCTGCCTGGTAACTAATTTTTTAGGAAGTTTTTTTCTAATCAGTTATTTAGATGTTTATTTGATGAATTTATATAAAAATCCTTATCCTCAATTATAAAATCTAGAAAGATGATTTAGAAATACTTATAATTGTTAGGTGGCTAAACTTCCTACTGTTACACATTCATACTTGTGCAAATGTTCACTGAGTTAAACATAAAAATCCTTAGATCTCCCAATTCATCAATTTCTATCAACACTCTAGAAGACTGAAGGCATTGGAGCCATTAACTAGATCATAAGGCCCAATGGCAAGGAGTCTTGAGGTGCCAACACTTACAGACGTGGGTGATCTGGACTGGAATCTGCAACGCTGCCATGGGGCTTGGAGAGATGGCTGTATTATCTTCCAAGCGGGCGACTCTGATCTGAACATGCTGTACACTGGAATTGCAATTACTGTTTGGAACTCCAGATCCTGATTTATTCTCCAAAAGCACTGGGTTGTTTTTTTGGTTTTCATGTAACTGTTTAAGACCTTTTATTAAGACTGAAGGGAGATGGGTAGACAAAAAGAACATTGACTCTCTGACAGACCACCATCTAAGCATCAAGGGAATAGGGTGGGAAGAGGGCAAGGAGGGAAAGTATTTGGATTAAATAGTTGTATACTGCACATGAGAACTGTTAAAATAATAAAAAATATTCAAACTAAAGCCTGTCTTTAAATCTTTGGAAACATCCATATAAGAAATTAAAAAGGGATTAAAATTTTTTTTGGAGATGGTAGTGGTCTTGCTATGTTGCCCAGGTTGGTCTCCAATTGTTGGTCCTAGTGATCCTATAACTCCGCCCCTCAAGCAGTCTGGACTTAAGAGACATGTGTCACCATGTATGCCCAGACTTTAGAAATTACTGAAAGCATACCATTCTTGCCATCTGAATTATAACCAAATGGAAACAGAGGACATTGTTAAGGACATGGAAATAAAACATCTTCTGTGTCCTAGGGCTTTTGGCAGAACTGTTTAGAGAGACTACCGGTAATGTTAACACATTGTTTCTATTTTTAAATGAACAATGCATTCTTCCACCAATGACTCAAGGGCTGCACTTGACTGCCAAACACTGGTACTCAAGGTCTTTCACAAGAGTTGTTCATGGGTTCCTTACTCTAGATTTTGCTCTTTCTGATGGGTGTCAGGGGGACAATGTCTCAGTCTCTAGTGATCTGCCTGCCTTTGCTTTGTAAGCACTGGGATTACAGGTGTGAACCACGATGTCCAGCTCTTTCACAATCATCTATATTAATCATCTGTAATTGGGAATTCAAATCCTCAGCATTGAATGTTTTGAAAACTGCAAGTTGGAGTATCATTAGAGGAGAAATGTGTTTGGTAACCTCAAGCAGAGAGATTGTGTAACTTGAGTTAGCAACTAAATGCAAAAACGGCAATGGGATGACAAATCTTAAAGCAAATTCAGTTTAAGATCCCTGGAAACCCAGAGAGCCTGTTTTCTACAATATATGGTACCAGACTTTTCCCCATATAACACACTTAGCTAAGGTAGCTAAAATTATACAACTCATTTTTGAGGAAGGTTTGTATTTAAATGAAAGCATGTAAAATTTATTCCCTCTTTATAGTTTATGTGGAAGAATAAGAATATGTATAAATGTGTCCCCCCACCCCTTTACAGGCTTTGGGAATTACTAATCACATGCATTCTTCTGTAGGGCAGAAAAGACAACTACTAAAAGAAATAGGGCAAGTTAAGTGGAAATCTGCCACAATAGCCTTCACTTGAGGCAAAGAACTTCTAACCACTAACTTTTTAGAAGTAATACTGTAAACAAGTAGTACATTACCAGGAAACGAAACATCCTTATGGTTTGCAATTTGCCTTTTGATGGTCCACCATTTACTTCGAAGCCACTGTGGTGAACGGACACTGCTCCATCCCTCAGCTAAAAGATCCCAATTTATGTCATTTTCATCGGCTACATCAAGCTCTGCTATCCTACAGATTACAAAATAAATTTGTTAGATCTTAAATTTATTTACATACCCCTTCTTAGTACAGGTAATAGGACCAGCAATCAGGTTAAGACAATGAGGTACCATTATTTAAGCAAAAGGACTGAGCAGTAAAGTGCAACCACGGTACTGTAAGGGTAGAAGCAGACGAAGCAACATGAAGGAAAGGGAGCAGGCTAGAAATTACAACCAGATGAAGGGCAGGTTTGATTGTACACGCAGTATTGCAATGTTCACAGTTTGTTCTTCTGGTTTTTCAAGACAGGGTTTCAGCATAGCCCTGGCTGTCCTGGAACTCACTCTGCCGACCAGGGTGTTCTGAATTCTCAGAGATCTGCTTGCCTCTGCCTCCCAAGTGCTGGAGTTGGGATTAAAGGTAAACATCACCACCTCCCAGCTGTAGTTTGTTTTTTTAAATAAATTATTTCTTGGCTCTAAGCTAAACATGTTCTAAACATGTTTAGAAATTCATCATATTAAAAAATGATTTAGTTGAGAAACAACTTATCCTCCAGTTACCCCCTCACCAAGTATCTTAAAGCTGTGTTCTGAATTTGTGTGAGGCAGAAGTGCTTACTTTGATCTAGCTTGATGGTGTGTGTGACCATTAGACTAGGTCCTCATCGCCAACTTTAGTACAGTACCCACAGACTAAAGAGACCCTTACTCTACCACATTCCCACAGGCTAGGGCTGGGGCTAACTGGTGGGATGATGAGAAACCACCACCACCGCCTATGTCTCTGCACCCAATCTAATACTTCGCTTGAGCACTAAATCTTTATAAAGGAAAAAAACAGCTCCATATAAAGTACGCAGGGCCTTTTAAACATGGCTCTCCATAGAAAGGCTGCTTTTCATTAGGAATAAAAGGAAATCAAGAGGAAAGTCCATCAAGACATCTATAGAAATGAAGCAGGCTTTTCTTGCTAAAAAACATGGAACACAAACCTTAGGATGAGATTGATTTCATCTTCCTTGGTCCATTCAGTACCTCCACTCTGTTTCCAGTTCAGGTAGTTGAGCCATTTAGAACGGCATTGCTTTTCTGAGCGGGTACCCACTCTTTCAGCTACAGCTGCCCAAGACACTCCCTGTGTGACGATGTCACCAGGCTCTGTGCTTGTTAATTCATGAACCACCTCTGCAAGTCTCTTTTCCTCCTCTTCTGTCCATTTCCCTGAGAAGGAAAATCATTCAGATACACTGTTATCTTCTCAACCATTACAGGATCCAGCCCTGTATGACCAAGTTCCAATGCAAAGGATGAGCTCCTGGGTAGAACAGTTTATCTTGCAACAACACTCAGATGGGAAAATTGCTTGTACTCACTAGCTCACAGAAGCTCTGGAGCTTCATTTAAAGCTTCTGCTTCATTCCTAAAGCTAGCCACACCAAAGAATGAGTGTCGGTGAGATTTCATGTTTTTGCTGTTTTACTTACTGGTAACAACATCAGGGAGGTAGAGGACATATTCTTGATTTTACTTTAAGTAGGTAAGGGGTAAAGAAAAAGACCATTTAGAATCTGAAGCTAAACAAGAACATGAATTATGGATCCTTCAGAAACATTAAAACCAAAGGAGACCTATGAGAACACTTACTCTAACCTCTGTTTTACAGAGGTATTAAGGCTTAGAAAGTTAAGACAATGGCAGAGTTTCTATATAAAATTGTTTAATCAGAAACTGGCTTGATACTTATCTTCAGTTCATTTATATATGTTAAGAAGTATATGAGTCTGGCCAAGACACAGAAAAACTAATAATCATAAATTTATTTATGGAAAAATATAACTCAGGTTGGAGATTCACAAAACTATATCCCAACCACTGAAAGACAGGCAGGTTTTTCCTGCTCTGGGAGTTCCCTGAGCCTGAAGTTGTCACAAACACAGGCTGTTCTAAGTTCAGTTAGATGGGCTTATATCAAAATTACTTCTGTGTGTCTTAAGCAATGCTTTACCATGTAGAGTAGCTCTGAACTGACATAAAACTGCAGCACAATTGTCTGAAAATGAAGTGTTGCTATGTCCTTGTTATCAATGTTCAGTGTTACTAGATTTGAAAGCACAAAACCCTATTGGTTTTATCTATTAAACTGGAAGAAAAAAACACAAAAGACTAGGAAATGATTGTTTAAATGAAGATGAATAGCACACAGTGTCTGCAAGGGCAGGAGGTGCAGAGTGACCAGGCAAGTCCCCACAGCACAGCTCTCACACACCTGTGTTGCAGGTATCCTTCATCAGTCGGCAGCGGTCTTTGACAGAAGAGGCACTTCTTCCTAGGGCCGCCCCTATTGTTGCCCAGTCATTGCCATGCTTTATCCGGAGCCTAGAACAAGAGTCTGCCAATCAGCATTTGGTTCAATTGTTTTCTCCCTTTTAATTTCATCACTTATTCTTCATTCTTCTTCTTCCCTTTTGACTGGTTTGCAAGTTGTGGGCAGCAATACTTTTGAGAGCCAAAGTTTGAAAGTGTGGCCTTTTATTGGGGTCCACAGTTGTCTGTGGGTGAAAAAAAAAACAGGCAGCAATTGCCCTTTTCCTGGGTCAGAGAAGAAATAGATAACTTGGATATGTGTTCAAAAAAGACCAAATTTCCCCTCAGGTTATTGACACAAATCCCAGGCATGCCCCAAAGTTTTTCCATTTGAGCATATTCCTAACAACTCTTCTTTAGACATCTAAGAAGTCCAACAAATCTTCATAAAGAGGATCTACCTCCAATCTTCTTCAGAGATACATAACCTGCCACACTGTATCCATAGCTATAGCTCAAAGAAGCAACATAAGCTTCTGGAGATACAGCCCTTACCAGGTATTGCCAGCCAGACATTCAAGGCAACATTCACCAGGTCGATCTTATATCAAGCCTTTGATTCTGGTAATAATTCCCTAAATGTAGTGTACAGGCCACTGAAAACATCCATTTAATTTTTTTTTGGATTCCCTGTTAGTGGTATCACCAAACACCTGGTGACTGATAACAGGATACTAATTTGTTTATTATGGGCATACTAATATTTAACTTCTAACAGAAATTCATGCTTTAAACCAGTCTGCCAATAAGCTCAAAATTTTGAATTTAAAGAATTAAAAATAAGACAAAAAGCCAAATAATCACAATCAATGAAAACAAAAACTGAGAACTTACTCCTTGAGTTTTTCAATTTCTTCAGGAGTGTATCTAGAAATTCAGAACAATAGAAAATAAATTAATTAAATACAGAATGCTAAAAACATTACCAAAATCCAGTTTTATTTAGAGATCTGAACATTAAACGTTATAGCATGTGATTAATATTAGTATTGTTTTAAAGTGACTTCTTAAAAGTTAAAATAGATGCTTTCTACATTCTTAAAAAAGAAAAAACCCAGTAATTAGTTTTAGCTATCATTTTCTCTATGGAAGTCCAATATTTAAAATATCCACCTGTCTCATGTTACCTAGTTGTTCCTTTAGTTCAAAGTTAGGTCCAAGGACTCTGAAATCACAACTACTCCAATAGACTTATGGATAATATAGTACACAGTAAAGAGAGAAAAAAATCATTTGTTTTTCTAGCCAGGCATAGATACTATATCAATTCTTTTTATTTCTATAGCCAATGCAATGTTCTTTTTATACATTAAAAAAAAAAAAAAGCCATTTATCTGAAAATTATGTAAGGCTGTCTACTTTTTAACTATTTGTACTACATGGAAGATTTTTTTGAAAGTTAAGTCATTTATTCTTGAGCCAAAAAATTGTTTTTGCCCACTCTCATAAAACAGTAAGTTGATTCCCTTCAGGTTTCAAATGTATTTTTCACTGGTAGCCTGCTGACAGGATAGAGGAAATCAGCACTGGGAGCTCAATAGTGTCTACCAGGTCATACTAATGTCACCTAAAATCCCAGCCAGCGACAAAAGCATCAGCAACATCACAGAATCATTCCATTGAACAATTCTCACTGTAGCAGAAAAGTATTCATCATTGCTAGCCAAGTTAATTTCTACTCATTTAAAAGTAAACGAAGTCACTAACCTGGTATACTATAGTCTCAAATCAAACAGGAAATAAATGCTATCAACAAATCTGGAGTTCTTTTAACACTTCCCACATCTTTAATCGTCCCAAGTTTTAATTTCTACAAAGCAAACTCTGACATAGTAAATTCAATCAAGTTAATCTAAGTAAGGTAGTTCGGATTTCTCATTTTTAAATGAGTCCTTATTATGAGATTTCACCACATACTAACACTTCTAGGATAAAATTAACAATAAGGATTCACAGCTGCTTCCACTTCAGGAATGAACTAAAACTAAAAAAATGGCAGTTCCTCGTCTCTTTCCCTGGTTACAGGAAAACATTACAGGTTTTCATACTTTCCCACATGGTTCCTGTCGTCATACATGCGCAGCACTCTTCTATAAACTGCAAACAAAGGCCGGTTCAGCCCCCACGCTATGGTCCTGTAGAAATCTTTTCTTTCGTCTTTTGACATCTCAAAGATGATTTCTGTAGCATCTTTTATTCCGCGTGCCTAAATAGGTTACATTTCTTTGATTTAGGGATTTCCGATACAATGCATGGGGATATACTGTGCTTTTTAAACTAGTTTTAATGTTAAAAGTCAACAATGACATTCAAAAAAAGACTATTGCTAGTAAGCCTAAACTTTAAATAAACTTTAAAAGTGTTGTAATAGTTCAAGGGATACTTCAGGGCACCGAAAATGAACTATCTAATTCAAACAACTCAAGTTTCTGTTTAAAATTTATAAAAACTAAAAATAATCATGAAACGAAGAAATTCAGAAGAGCAAAATTAATCACTAGCAATCAAATACACTGAAAGATAAGTTTAAAGCTCATTCTTTGAAAGGATCAATTAGGAATAAATTTTGAAATGACACATTTCTGGCCAAACTAAAAGGCACAAATACTAGAGAGGAAAGAAATGTGACCTAAGTAGAGACAAAACAGAGATTAACAACAAATGAGCATTATGAACAATTTTATAAGTATGAATTGACCAAAAGAAAAGAAAATGACCAAACTCCTAAAAATAGTCAACTTACCAAAATGGATTCTGGAAAAGATAGAAAATCAGAGACATAAACCAGAAAATTAAAAAAAAAAAAAAAAAAAAATCTGTTACTATTAATCATACCGTAATAAAAGTGCCAGATCCAAGTGATATTATGAATAAATACTACCAAACATTTTAGAAAAAAATATGTGTGGTGATAATTTCTGATTTTATTAGGCTAAAGTAACATCAATGACATAGCCCAATGAGGAAAATTTCAGAAGACCATTTGGGTCACGGCTCAAAGCTTAGTCATTACAAACAGCCCTGAAGTCCCACAGTTAGTACAGAACCATCCATGATGCACTGGAAAATGGGGCCATTCTGGCAGAGGCTGGTCAAATTTCAAAATATGGAGAAAATACCATAAATGATAAAACTCGTACTGAATCATGGTTAGCTATAGACCTGATAAAGTAACATATCATAAATACATACTTGACAAGATTGTCATGTATATAGATAGCTAAAAGGTTGAGAAAAAAAAAAAACAAAGAAGCTCTTTATCAAGCTGCTAAATATCAAATCAATAACTTGCATTTCTATACAAAGTTTATGAAAGTCTTCTATGGAGAATATAGAATACAGAACTTAAAAAAACATTATAATTCTTACAAAGTGAGTCAGTGTAATTCCAATAAAAAGTTCTATCAGGATTTTATTCTGTACAAACTAAGTTTGTAACAGAAGAGGGCTAAAAATAGTCAAGACATTCACGAAGGGGCTTGCCCTGTCAGGTATTAGACCATTCAGGCTAGCGTTACATACTAGTACAGGTAACGTGATAACAGAAAGATAAGCTAGAAGGAACTTGGAAAAAAAGATGTTCATACTGTAAAAAATGCTAGGGAAAGTGTCATCCATACACAAAAAGAACTGAAGCCCTATTTCATATTAGTTTGGAATGAGGAGGATTAAATGTAAATTTATAAAACATGAACAAGACAATAAATAAGAATAGGTTCATATCTACGAGATGCTATCTTACACAAGCATGCAAAAATCAAGTTTAAATGAAAAAATGATATCGAAATTAAGAATGTTTGTCCATTAAATGTTATTCGAAGAGAAGGCAAAGACAGGTCCTAAATTTTGACAAGGTATCCATAGATGACCTATAAACTTTTAATATATACCAAATATTATGAACATCTAGCAGAGAACAAAAACAAAATCCATAGCAAAATGCGTAGAAAATACAAAGAGGAATTTAAAAATAACACAAAGGTCAATAAGCATCTACAATAATTTTACTTGAAAATCAACAGCATAAATCTAAAAAGAATGAATATAAGCAATTCCTATATAATGAGCAATCTGAAATATATCTGCATAGTAAATAGCATAAATCACAATACTGAGCAAGAAAAACAAATTATGAAATACCATATTTTTAATATAAATGTCAAAACCAAGTAAAATCACAGTGGTGCATATCTTTCAAAAAGTTTAGAATCTTTTCTAACTCATTCATACGAGTTTCAGAATTACAGGCAATAAACACAGGTAAATCCAAGCTAAATGCAAACACATGCTTGGCACTTGGGACAACATGAATTGAGCATGTTTACCCTTCTCAGTTTTGCTTGTGGCTGTTGCTTTCATTCATCATTTTGTTCAATATATGGACTGGCACTTAACTAATGAGACTTCTCTGTTTAAAAGTGGCTCTTCAGCATGGTAAGACCAAGAATGAGAAATCTTTTCAAAACTGCCTATTCCTGCCAATCCTACCATTAGTCTCCAAATGACCTAAAACCAAAACTCTTTTAAGTAATTCCAATTCTTCCTTAACCAGGACTCAGAGTACTTGCCTATCTGCTTTCTCCTGCCAGTGTGAGTTCTCGCTATTCCCACCTAGTCTGCTGTGTTCTTTTGCAGTTCTTAAATCTTAGCCAGAACCACTGAAAATAGAAGGATCCTTGGAGATCATCTACTCAAATCTGCTAGGCAATAAACCACCTTTTTAATTTCCCAAATCTGGTATTTCTTACCATGTTTTACTGCTGAATCAAGATGTTTAGCATTTTCTGGCTGCCCATGTCACCCCCCCCCTCAACCAGGTGAGCATTCAATCACTATCCAGAATACCCTCAGCTCCTCAATGTATGTGACCAGTGGACAGTTTCGTTCTCAAAACAGACTAGGCAAAGCAATTTTTGTTCATTATTTGTAGAGAACTTATAATAAAGAATGGATTTTTTTTTCTTTTTTAAAGCTTACAGTTTACAAAGCTTACCTTAGAAAGTGCAGTTAAAATTCAGTTTAGGAATATAAATCTGGTAGGCAATGATGTATTTATGTATGTCAAACAATGCTAACAGCTAAATAAAGAGGGCACACTGCTATCCCAAGCAATGTTAACAATCAACACTTCAAACTTCTGACTTTTACTCTACCTAAAAGTAAGAAGAGTATGGATCTCCACCACCAATCTAACTAAACTATCAGCTTTTCCTTAAAGTTTATTACTTCTCATTCTCTGTACAATAAAGGTCTACTTACTTGACCTGGACTTTATGCCAGTTATGCCCAGGCTACTTATCTTGTTTCCAGTTAAAGGGTTAATGTAACATGCTGGGTTGCCTGTAATCACAGTACCATAAAGGCTGAATGAGGAAGACTGCAACCAGTTTAAAGCCAGCCAGAACTACACAGTGAGTGTCAGGCTAACCCAGGCTACAAAGTAAGACCATGCCTCAAAACAAATCAAATTCTCTTTTTGCTTAATTGCTCTAATCCTGAGGATAAACAATTCTTCCCTGAATTCTTAAGGTGCAACTCATACACAGCATTTGCATGGTAGAAACCTTTCATAATTCTTCACTGTTTCCTTTTTTTCCCAGACAGTACTTATTGAGGATTCTTGTCTCCAGTGACTCCTCAAAAATTCTATATCCAATGGCTATTAGTAAAGATGACAAGAATTGCAAGACCAACAGCCTATGCAAATGAATTTAGTTGGTTAAAAAAAAAAAAAAAAAAAAAAAAAAAAGGCAATGGGACTGGTATGATTTAAGTTGAAAGAAGATGCAGACCCCAGGGTGTGGATAAGCTGAACTCACAGGCTATCTGAAAAGTAAGGAAAGGCTTAGGAAGTACAAGAAGCTATGAAGATTTCTGTCCTAATTTCACCAAGTAACTAAAGCTACATTGTGGTTAAAATTCATTTATTTAAAAAATATAATACTATACTCATAGATCTTGAAATTATTAAGGCATCAATCTTCTGTTACAAAAATCAGAGACACACTCATAGCAATGACACAGTGTTACCTGGATATTCTTGCAATCATTAGTAAACAAATTACGGAACCGTGAAAACTCTATCATGGGGTACCTTCAGATAGCGCTCAATATTGTTCATCAAAATATCAATTTCTTCCTTGGACCACATCCCCTGCTTCCATTTGTGTCCTTTAAAAGAAATTAGTGTAATATAAATAAAAGAACTATTATACAAAATACCCTTTGAGAGGAATAAAACACAACAGATTTTCTTTGTGACAAAATTGCCACTGAGAATAGAAGTGGGCTAATCTAGTTTTTCATTATCTGAAACATCCTCCAATGCAGTAATTATTGTAATCTACTGAATAAAGATAATGAAAATGATTTTTAAAGTACTACTTCTCTTGGAAGAATAAAACTGCGAGAGACAAAAAGTAAGGAGAGTCAAGTTATACTCAAAAGATTTTGGAAAAGTTTTTTTCATTAAAAAAATTAATTTTATAGGCAACAGAGTAAGCACTGAAGATAAACATAATCAGCTGGAAACCAAGTGAATGAACATTAAGAGTATCCACTACACTGTGGCTGATGTTATTCATGTGTCTCTGCATTTTTGTGCACCACTGTTTGGCTCTTTTATGACAGCTTCCCCAGCTATGCTAGTGAGTAGCATAGCACTGTAAATGCATTCCACTTAAGCTTCTAAGAGACTCTCCAACACAAGTAAGACTCACTTTCTCCTCTTACAAGCAATAACTGAATTGCCTCTTAAATGTCACCACAGTGTATCTGTTCAAAAATAACACGACAAAACTTAGTCTGTATCAGAAATAAAAATGGTAATACCTATTGTAAAATAAACGGCCTAATGGTATCATTCATGGTAAAATTTAAATCCATCAGAAAGTTCAATTCCATTACTTGGTTCCACCAAGGAAGTCTCAATTCAGAATCTTGATGACAACAAGCCTTTTTAGCCCATAGCTTCTGGTACTAGGATCCAAGGTTCAGTTTATCATACCTTTGTTTGTGAGAGAATCCTTATCTTCTTTAGTTGTAAACCATGCTTGGCTAACCGCGGAAACTTCCTCAGTACCCAAAGGAGAGATTTCATCTAGTTGATCATTCTGTAAAATCTTTAAAAAAAAAAAGAGAGCAGGGGAGCTTGATTTAATGCCCAAGTTGATTCACATTTGCTGATGGTAGGAATTATAAAATTCTAACACAATAATTCACTTTCACATATATACTATCTTTAGCATTTTATAATTTGGTGTTGTGGTACATACCTAATATCCTGGCATTTTGGGGGCTGAAGCAGGAAGATTTCAAGTTTACGCCTGGGCTATATAGTGAGATTGTTTCAGAAAATGAAAATAGGTTATTCAACTTTTATCCCTAATATCTGACTCTGGATTTTATTATTAAGACCAATTAGAACTTGTGCTACAGGGTATAGTTGTGCATGCTTTTAGTCCCAGTACTTGGGAGGTAGAGGCAGGCAGATTTCTGTTAAGTTCAAGGTCAGCTTGGCCAACAAAGCTACACAGAGAAACCTGGTCTCAAAAAACCAAAAAGATATTTCAAAATCATTTGGGTAGTTTGTATGCAAAATGAACTTTTCAATCGAGTTGACATCAGCTTCAGATAGGAAAAAGTGGTCTCCTGTCCTTGGGTGATATAACTGGGTAATATCCTCAGGGGTCATTTTCTCTCACCTAATAAAAGATTATCAGACTAAATTAAATTACTGCAAAATGACTGTCTGCTTTACTTAATTTTGAGTTAGCTTGTGAAGATAGTGTTCATAGGACTAAGATAGTGTTAGTTATCACTACACCAACATAATCTTTATACACTCATCACTGGCCAGTTTTAGTATATTCAAACTAAGTAGGCAGGAAGAAAGCTACACAGAACAGACTTGACCCTGGGCATAAAAGGAATGACATTGTAAAGAAGACATACTTGGTAATAGTGCTACTACATCATGTATGAGGCTGTCATAGGCACATTAGCATAAGGCACATTAGCTTAAGGAGAGTCGTGTGATTGGATTAACTGTCTGTCTTTCAGTTCAGTCTCTGGCCAGAATAAACTGCTATGCTAAGTCACTGCCTGGAGGAGGTAAGTTTCAAGAACAAATGGACTGTTTCTCTTATAAACAGAAAATGAACTTCTAATCTGAAGAGGAATTGGATTGCTGTGGGAGACTTGTTTGCTCTGTCCCCCGAAACTGTCAATCAACTGAACCTTACTTAATTCAGAGGAATTAATTCAGAGGAATCAGCTGATCAGAAAAAAACACTGTTTTGGTCAACTCAGATGAAGAGAAAGGGAGACAGGGAAGAAGGAAAGAACAGGGCTCAGGGGTTTCTTTGGCCTTTTTGTATCTCAGAAAAGCAGAGGGTTTTCTCTTTTTGGATCTACCAGGTTCATACCTTACTACCTGACTCTCGAGTTTTTAATAATATCAGAATAAGTTAGATAATCATTATATCTGGTACTCAACATGGGGCATTACTAAACCACATCACACCAAGGCGGTGAGCCTGCCACTGCTGTGGCCAGCTTTGTCTCCTTCCCACAGGTCTTCTGTGCCTGTTTTTTCTGGTGCTGTCTTTCTACAGTAGCCTCTGCCTGTTGCCCATCCCCGGCCCCAAATGTCACTGGGGTTATCTGTCCCACTACTGCCTATGTCCTCACTTCAGGCCACTTCCCTGCATCCCCTCCATGGGCTGTCAACCCAGGCCAGCTCTGCTGCTGCCACTGCCAGTCTCCACCTGTGTCCAGCAGCACTGAGCAGCGAGCGGCAGCTAGCTGCACCCTGACACAGCAGAATACACTAGCACATAGCTCTGCCTTCACTGCCATTGTCAACAGACCTGCTGAGGCACCTGAGAATTCTTAAAGGGAGAATTAGGCTTAAATAAAAGGCGCGTGCGTGTGTGTACACTTTCCCATGTTGAGACTTGGAAATACTACAATGCAGGGAGTTAGGACCCTGTTTAGTGCTACTATGGAGAACTTACAAACAGAAAAAAATAAATGAGGGGAGAAACAACTTCTCTAGGACTGACATGTCAATCATAATTACTATCAGTTTGGTAATTCATATCTTAGTCTTATAAAAGTGGTTTGACAATTGTGCCAAATATGTAAGACACAAGCCTTAGAAAGGCTTACTATTGATAAGATACATGCTTTAAAGAGTTGTTACTAGTAGTATACAAGCCCAAGAAGGATTTACTACTGATATGATACAAGCCTTACAAAGATCTACGAAGACAAACAAAAAACCAAACTCAGACAGAGCCAGAATTTAGAGCAAAACCTTACACCATTGCATTATGAAACTGAACAGGAGAGGCCCAAGATTATTAGAAAGCCAACCTTAAATTTATCCAGTCACCATACAAGAATGACCACCAGATGATAGTAACCCCAAGGCTATTCAAACGCTAATTGGAATCCTGTAGCAATGTTAGATTTGAAGAGATCGAAGGAAGCAGTCATTTTAATTCACTCTCTGTAAGGCAGATGTAATATATTCATGGGCCACTCAGAATAGAATTACTCCACAAGACTGGAAAGATTAATTTACAGCAATATTAGAAGCTGGTTCTCAGTTACAATGAAAAACATGGTAGAATGGAAGGTAGGGCCATAGAAGTTAGTTAAACGGGGCTAGAGGTATTGAAATTTCCTAAGAACAGTCTTTCAGTGAAGGTGAGTAGCTGATAAAGACAGTTGAGATTTGATGATCACACCTTGACGAAATGTCCCAAGCTTTGAATGCTTGGGACAGGGCTGAAGAATCAGAAAAGAGGTCTGAGTAATTTATTAAAATTATTCAAGGCTCAAAAGAAACCATTGATTTTTTTTTTTAACAAAGACTGACATCAGCTATAAATAGAATGATATCAAATACAGAAGTTAGACATTTTCTAAATGCTAAATGAGAAAGTACCAACAGCCGACAGACACTGAACAATAGAAACTACTGAGTTAAATTACCATGTATGTTTTAAAGATGTGTTGATCTCAGAATAAAAACCAGCATGTGTGTTATGTTGAAGAAGAGTTTTCCTTTTATTTCCACAGAATTGAGAAAGATTACATTCAAACAGAAGAGACCTCATGATTAGGAGAGGTGACAATTCATCAAACAGCTTGGCTATTCAATCCAAACTAATTTATAAGACTAACAAATGCCTCCATTTAATCAGGTTTAAAAAATATTAACAATTTTTCACAATTAAAAGATAATAACTTTTCTGTTGCCAAAAACCATTTTGCATTTACAAGGATATAAACTGCCAAAAACAAGGAACTCCTCAAAGTTAGGTCTGGGGCAGGGTTTTGTTTTTGTCTTTCCAGGAGAATAAAGCATTCAACGAAGGAATCCGAAGACCACTACATTTCTAACAGGAGAAAATTTCATAATCTTTCCAAATGTTTGTTTCTGATGTTCTCTACAGACATGTAAAGCAAATGGTCTTTTTGTAGTCCCAACTCAATTAAAAACTACAGCTGGCTGTGGAGTTGGAGTGTGGCTTGTTGAAGGAAAATCCAAAGTCTGTCTCATGTCAGAAGAGCCACTGATATGGGACAAAGAAAACCAAACTTAACAACTATTCTATTTCACTAATCTCATAATCCCTTAAGTTAACTTTGACTCTTCAAAACATTTCTTAAGGCATAAATATTATCACAAAATTTATAAGATTAATATATGTTTAAACTTTCTATTATGATATTAGTGGTCATACAGAATATTAATTCTAGATTTAGGCTTTCATCTAGCTTCCTGTATGTGATTTTAGGCTTGAGAATAAAGCAAATAATGAGGAATTAAGCTTGTTTATTCAGAAGCACTTAATGAATTGTGGTCCTTTAAGCCCTAGGAGATCTGCTGCATATTACATTTAAAATGTTTACATTTACTGCAGTGAGTGTGACCATTTCTAACAGTGACTTATAAGTGTCCATAAGGACGGTGGGGCCCCAAAAACATGATTACACCTGGATTATGCCACTAACCTGACAAACACCACTCAAAGATCAGTGTTGGACTACAAACTGCTCAGGACAATTTCAAGATGGTTAACTGAGATGTTCCAGCCTAACAGACTACTCTGGCCAGGACTTCTGATGGGCCCTACATTATCCCATCACATTGAATGGACAACAACTAGCTCCTTCAGGATGACCATTATCTCTTTTAGGAACACAATACTGACATTCCTAAGAGGTGGGGTGGGTGGTTTTTGGTCAGTCAGTGAGTTAGGGATGTTTATCATTGTAGGGGAGTTGGTTACAAGTTGTTATTGGTCATGGTCAGGGACTAAACAAAGGAAATTAGATTCAAGGATCTTGTTCTGAAAAGAATAAAGGGGGACATAGGATTGACAGGATAAAAGGGCAGATACTGAATCTACCTTTAAATTAAAAAATTAAATATTATCCTCAAATGGTTTATACTGGTATAGCATTTTGTATAGTGATACAAATTTAAGGTTATTTTTGTTAAACTGTATACATGTTTCTACTCTTGTTTACAGTATTGTACCTTTGCAGTTCATTTAACAATTTAATAATAACTTAAAAGTTATTATTACAAACTATATAGGAAAACCAAGAAATGCAGATTAGTAATCATCAAGCAATCAAATCCATAGCCATGTTAGGAATGTTTACAAGGTCAATTAGAGATACAGTCTACATAGATAGATGGTCTTTAAATACTTCAGAGATCTACAGACTATAGCATTTAAGATATTTTCATAACATAAGCCCTTTTCTTGACAGTGAGACATATCTGCTTCCGGCAGCAACAATTTACTTCAATAAACAAACCAACAAATAAATAAATATTGGGCATCAAAGAAACCTCATATGGTGTTTGCTTTCATTGGTGGCAAAGTTAGTCACTGGGCCCTTGCCTCGACTACTGACAGTATGATGTCCAAACTAAATAAGCAGGACACAAAAGGAGGTGACTGTCAAACTTTGCCAAGACAGGGTAGGATAGTTCTTCAAAAATTTCTACTTCACAGAAAAGTCTGTCAGATAGTCTAGGCCCATGGATGCCACAATGTTACAGAGGAATCTTGGAGCAACTGTCCAGGCAGTCAACTGTCGCTGTCATTTCTTAGTTTTGGAAGTTGTTTGCTCTGCACTTCCTGTTTACCCAGGTGATACTATATCCTTCTCAGGTCTCTGATGAAGTTGAAGACTAGATAGTTATAGTTTTCCTTAGTTATGATATAAAGTAAATTAGGTACAAACCTTTGCACTTACCAAGAAAGGATAATGGAGTATTTTCTCTGAGTTTGCCAAATACAAATGGACTAGATATTGTGAATGGAATTCTTGTTTGATAATTGTTATTATTAGATATAGTTTTTAGTTTTTCAAAAAGTTAATACCTTTTTTTCTTTTATTTAGGAAACTACCTGATGATTGTTCTTATTGGCTATAGTTTTATGTTAAAGTTATAACCTTTCCCTTTTATTTAGACAAAAAGGGAAAAATGTTGCAGGATATTTGTTCACTCTGTCCCCCAAAACAGTCAATAAACTAAATCCTGGTTCAGAGAATGGAGTCCATGCTCAGCCGACCAGAATAAACCAGTTTCTTTTGGCAGACTCAGATGGAAAGGGAGGGACATAGCGAGGAAGGAGAAGGACATAGGGATTTCACTGGTCCTTCTGGGTCTTATAAAGCAGAAAAGAGGGTCAGCCAGGCCTTTCTCTGCCACTTTCTGTATCTACCAGGTTCCTATCCTACTGACACCAGAGCTTTTATTAATAATAAAATAATTCAGATAATTGTTACACTGAATCCCATTTTCCTTTGAAACAGATAAGCTGTCAGTGAAAGATCAGAACACAATGAGAACAGCCATGTCTCTATGGTTACCCCCCCCCTTTCAAGGGACTATTTGTGCATGTGATTTAAATCTAGCTATAAATCACTGGACAGCCAGTGAGACAGCTCAGAAAGTAAAGACCATTTGCCATCAATCTTGCTGACCTGAATTCAATTCCCAGAATCCATATCTGCAAGTTGTCTTCTGATGTTCACACGTGCTGTAGCAAGTAAATGTGCACACATGCATACACATACAAATGCACACACACATGCATGCACAAGAGAGAAAGAGAGAGAGAAGGAGAGGGAGAGAGATTGGGAGAGGGAGAGAGAGAATACTATTCAGCTCTAAAGAAAATGAAATAACATAATTTTCAGGAAAATTAGTAAGACTTAGAATGAATGTTAAAGTGAGATCATACAAACTTAGAAGAAAACTGCATGTTCTTTCTCCTTCATATGCAGTATCTAGTCAATAATATATATTGAGATGGGCAGTGGTGGCACATACCTTTAATCACAGCATTTGGGAGGCAGAGGCAAATGGATCTTTGTGAGTTCAAGGCTAGCTTGGGCTACATAGTACATTCCAGGATAGCTAGGGCTGATTCAGAGAAACCCTGTCTGGAAAAACAAAAACCAAACAAACAAACACAAAATTTGATTTGACAAGTCCTGTTCTGAAGAAAGGATTTTTCTATCGCTTTAGGAGAATCGAAAAAAGTCCTGCCCATTGAAACAGAACACATGTCTGAGGTGTTCTCAGTTCTTGATGTTATGTATCAACCTGGAACTCTTGTATTTCATAAGTAAAAAGTGATACACTTCATAAAAATGTTTTGATGTTTCTAATTAGAAATACTAAGTAGTTTGTGAAATGAAGATAAGAAGCAAAAGGATAAGGCAACTAAAACAAAAGGTACATCTGGCAGACACAAATTTAGAATATGCATGCATTTCAGATATGGCCCACATCAAGACAGCCAAAGAAGTTCACCTTAAGAGCAGTAAGGCCAACCTTACAACACATGAGAAATCTAGTTCTACAAGTACCAGATCAAACAATATGACCATAATCACTGTTATTAACAGCTCAAGCAAGATCTTTGGACACAGATAAACGCACACCCATTATTTCCCATTTCAACAGCCACGAATCACTCTATAGGGAATATTTACAATCTATTTTTTTGCTTACAACATGGGGGGGGGGGACTAGAAACTTGAATGACGGGTCTTAAATGAATTTCATTGTTGTGATGTTTTCAAAGTATATGCTTATCATTTTTTACTTAAGCTGCATGTAATAACCATGTTCCTCACTATAGCCAGTTTAAAAGATGTACTATACCTGAATTTGTGTCACAGTTCCCTCAGAAAGTTCATCATCTGCCACCTCTGTGGTTGCCGTCATGGTCACCTCAAAGCTCTGATCATTTTCTGAAACTTCAAGAAAATAATGATTCAACTCTGCAATAATAATCATAGCATCTAATTACCCTATCAAAATCCATGGGGGAAATGTGATCATCTAATTTCCTAACACCCTTCATAACAATATAACGCATGTTAATTTGCTCATCAGACATGAATGCCAGGTAGGAAGGTTCTTTCATGGGGGCTTATATTCTAATAATGAACAAGATGTCACACTGGATGATAATTACAAGCCAAGAACAAAATAAAGCAGAAGGGAATGAGGGAGTGAAGCAGTATGTCTGAAATTTTAGGTAGGAGCTGGGGTGATAAGACCTGGGACAAAATAAGAAAGGTAGTCTTGGAGGTGTCCTGCAGGAGGCAATTTAAGGAATCAAGAGCACAAAAGCTTTGCTTAGAACGGGACAAGTATGATCAAGTATAATCATCTGCTGCAGCAGATGAAATAAGAACAGGAGGCTGTGTGAGACCTTGTAGTCATTGAAACTGCAAAGATGTCAACTTCACTCTGAGACACCACAGGATGATTTTAGGCAGAGAAATGATACCAACACTTTGATTTTAACAGGACTGCTCTAGTTGCTATGAGGAAAACAATGTGAAGGGTTGAAGGGTAGAAGGGCTAGAGTGAGACCATTAAGAGGCTAATGTTAAGAGAGGACATTTGGACTAGGTGGAAGCATTAGTTCAAGTTCTGAACAAATGTTGGCGACAAAGCCAATATGACTTGAAGACAATATGTGTGAGAAATTGAAAAGTCAAGGATGACAGGTACTTTTTTTCCTTTTGAAGCCTAGGCAACAAGAAGAGACTACTAATAAGCATTCATGAATTTTCAGGAAGTCAGTTTTAAACACATGACTGAGATATTTATCAAACATCAATAATTCAGGAAAACATGCAGGTGGCGCTATTCTAACAAGCACATCTAAGCGAAGTCTGGCTGAAGTAAGTGGGATTGTCATTGCCAGAGAAAAACCACAAATTAAGATCACATGGGCAATGAAAAACAGAAGCAGCAATCTAAGAGCCAAGTCTGTGTACTGGAGGGTTCCATATTTACAGGTTGGTGTATACAAGTCAAACTAAAAGACAGACCATGAAAAAACAAACCAGAGAAAGTTGTTTCTAGAAGCCATTGACAAAAAGCTTTTTGACAGACAAGAAGACAAAATCAGAGAGAGAGAGGGAGGAGAGAGAGAAAACGAATACTGGATTTGGCACAAAATCTCTGGAGACCTAGGAAAAAGTTTCGGTAAAGGATGAAACCTTGGAATGTGTTAAGGAAAAATGAAAAGACATAGAGGCAAGGACAGGCCATTGGATAGCGGCCAGGATTTTAGTTTACAGAAAAACATGTGTTTAACACTAATGGGAGTCATTCAGGCAGAGGATTCATAAGACAGACCTTAGAACTACATCTTTGAGTATTCAAAGACATGGAGCTTGTACATGGAAAAGCCTTAGCTAGCCAGGGTGAAGACTAGGGTACATAGGCACAGGTGAAGACAGATGTGGTAATGGAGTGTACAGTCTAGTTTTTCATTACTTCAATTTTCTCTGAAATAGAAGGCAAGGTTGTCCTCTGAACAGAAAGGTGGAGGTGTCACATTTTGGGACAAGAAACAATGATCTTAGAGTAGACAGAAGACTCTGAATGAGACTGATGAGACATGCCCTGCTAGATCACATATGCTACTTGTAAGGGATAAAGCCAAGTCAGCTTGTTCATCTTGCCTTTCCCTAAAGCCATTCGAATAGCTGTGTTAAACATAAATAGGAAATGCAATTAAGACAAGGATTATAGTTTAACCGAAGAACAATGAAAGAAATATGTGAATATAATGATTAGTCACAAAGCTACCACTGGGTAAGGAGAAAAGGAAGGACACAGTGCAGAAAGAAGTGGCACTACCAGGGGCTCCAGAGCGGAAAAGGATCATTGGAGTACTATGGGGTGACTGAGTTGGAGAGGAGGAGCAATAGTAGGAAACAGGTCTGAAAGGTCACAAAGGCACAAGAGCAACAAGTGACTCTAGAGTGGTAAAGGGAGCAGCAAATGGAGAACAGAAAGAATGAATGGCTGGGGTCTCAAAAGAATCACCAAACCCACAGGTAATAAATAGTTTTCATGACCATGAGCAAGAAATGGTATAAATACACTGGCGGGTGACCACAAAGGAAGTAGTGAGTTAGAATGAGTAAAATGTGAAACCTGCATTTCTAGTTAAGTATTAATAGTAATACTAATCAACCAGCATGAAGTCCAACAATGCTTTGTTTAGTGTGAGATACAACACTAGTCTACCCCCTCTCAAGTTAACTGCATCCTGGTATCTTTTACTTAGTCTCCCCCACTATTCCCATCCTTCCCAACTCCAGCAACTGTTGTTTCACTCCCTAGCACCAAGAAATCAATCTCTTCAGCTTCCAATGCCTGGCTTACTTCACCCAAAGCATGCGCTGTTGCTTTAAATACAGCACTTTATTCTTTACACCCAAATTAATATCCCACAATGTCCATGTACATTTTCTTTGTCTATGGATGGACACCCATGTTGATGTCACATCTTGGCTACTATGGATAGTGCTATGATCATGGGAATGTGAAATGAAGGCATCTTCTGATAGATTATCCAGGAACCACCTTCAGGCTGTTTTCCAGGAAGGCTGTACATTCTTTTGCTGTATCCCTGTTTTTAATTACAGCCATTCTACTTAGCCTGAGATGACCTATCTTATTACTCATTATTGGTTTGTTTAAATTTTCTGTTTTCCCATTCATTGGCATAGTCATTTATAAATATAGTTATCTCTAATTCTTCATATTTCTGTTGTATCAATTATAATTTCTCATTTTGGCCTGATTTTGAGTCTTTTATGACTAATCTAATGATTTATCAAATATATATGCATTCCTTAAGTGAGCATTTATGTTGCCTTTTTAGGATCTAGTTTGTTTCAATCTGATTTGGTACTTGTTTCTTCCCTTTATGATTTTAAGTTTGATTTATTCTTTTTTGCTAGGTACCTGAGTGCATCACCTGGTTGTGTAAACTCTTTCTTCAAAGTAGGCATTTACTGCTCTTAACTTCTCTCTTAACATCGCTTATCCCTTGGTTCCACGTATGCCATTCCTATCCTCACATGTTTCTAGAAATGTTTTAGAGAGTTCCTTTGGATTTGTTAACCCATTTGTTATTCACTCAGTGGCATGTTGTTTGATTTCTGAAGTCTCCCTATTGCTTTCTAACTTAATTCACATGGTGTTCTGACGACTTTATTTTGAAATTTGTTGGAATGTGGCCTGATGCATGGTCTATCTTGAAAAATGTTCCTTGTATTGAAGAGAGTATGTAATTCACTATTGCATGAAATAGTAAAGTTTAATGCCGATGTTTCTTTGTTGCTTTTCTGACTATCTAAATATCAAACTGGGAAACTAAAACCCTCACCATTACTCTCTTTCTCTATACACCAAGATTTGGTTTATGTAACAAGTGCTCTACAACTGGGTGAGTATACTTGTTTGCAACTACTTTTTCACCCTGTCCAGTTGATCCTTTTATTATTATGATGACCTTTGTTTCTCCTACCTATAAAAAAATAAATAAAATCCACTGTACTTTAAATAATAACTTCCTGATAATCTGCATTTTTTCCATTCCCTGATTTTTGGTTTACTGTGTGTCCTAACAAGTAAGCTAATCTTAAAATTCTTGCCTTTTAATCCATGGGGAAATTTAATCCATTTATATTTAGCTTTGGTATTGTTAATTTATATCCTTGTAGTTTTGTTAAAATTGGAGTTACCTTAGTATATACTAATTTCCTTTTTCCTCTCTGATAGCTGTTTCTCTGTACTGGTAAGATTTAATTAGTCTCTCTTTTATGTATCTTACACTTCTGAATTTTAAACTTGGTGTTGTTTTCTTTTTTCCTTTGGATCGCAGTGAAGCAGTCTCTTAGTATAATGAAGGTGGTGTGGCTTGACAGAAATGGATTATCTGGGTTAGCTTGTCTTGGAAAGGCACTTATCATTTTGAATGGTAGTACTCTGCTTAATTTATTTATTTATTTGTACAATCTGAGTATGTCTCATTCTTTTTCCAACCTTTAGGCGTTCTGCTGAGAAGTCTGCAGCTAGTTCAGAGAAGACTCCACATATGCTGGCACTCTTGTCTTGGCCTTGTTAGCTTGATTATAATACGTCTATGTTCTCTAGCTCGAAAGTTTGCATATTTTAATAATATATCCTTGCTGATTGTTTAGAATAAAAGATATTTTTGTAATTTCATTCTCTTTTGTTTTACTGAATCAGAATTATTTGAACTATGAAAAAGGCTTTGCTTATTTTCTTTTTCTTTGAACTTGCTGCCTTCAGTTATAGTCTTTTGGTAGTAATATGTTACATTATTTTTTGTGTCTTTGTCCCTATATACAATATGTAAAACTAGATTAAGTAGCTTCTACCAGTTTCACAGGGAAAATTTTTTCCTGAAGATGTGCCCTAAGGTACCCGTTGGGTAGACTACTTTGGCTTTGGATCCAGGGAGATACAGCAATTAAATGTTTATGTAACTAGCTGTAACCTATGGGTGACTGGTGGGCTAGATCATAAGGTACCAGTGGGATTATCCTATCTGCTAAGATGCAACTCTCTTAGTGGTAGTTTGCCAGTGTATCTAGGCACCACATCCTGTCAGTTTCTGTGGGTTGATGCTGTCAAACTATGATATAGCCACTATGGTTCCTTCTAGGCAAGATGTAACCAGAGAGGTTATGGAGATAAAGCACCTGCTAATTTGTAAAGGCTACATGGAAACACATCTACTCCAGTAGGCCCAACATATACTTGGTGGTGTGGCAGAGTGCTCAGATGTAAGATGATTACAAGGAGATGAGATCTCCCTAATGGACACAAGAACACCCATCAGTGTATACAAACTACACACATAGCTACCTTCACAAAGATGGGTGTGTGTGGTGTGTGTGTGACGGGGTAGGCTGCTTGCTTCTTGGGATGGTGGGTAGGACTAGCTGGCTGCTTTTGTGCCCCAGCTTCTTATGACAGGCAGTTTATACCTACTCTTCAGAGCCAAGGGCTGAGGGGACAAATAGCCAAACTTTGTACCTTTACTATAGCTTTTATTATTTTCCTTTTCCTTTTAAAGAGAAACCTTCCTAAATTGATGTATCATCAATTTTTACAAATGTGGAGAATATAGTCTCAGCCTAGCTTATTAAGTTCAGCCTTCTATTAGCCTTCAAATTACATTCCACATGTAATGAGCAAATTAAGTATCACATACACATTAGTGTAAACGCCTCCATATGTTTAGTAGCTGATGAAAATGGAACAAAGTGTCAAGCACATGAACTAACTTGTCACAATTTAGCACAAGTTGTTCAAAACTTGTGGTTTATAAAATGTCCACAGAGGATTATATCTGTGTAGGTAGGCCAATTAAGTATTAAAAATGAGTGACACAATAGGAAACATTTAAAAACACAAATCAACAGGAAGAAAATTCACTTAATTCAAAACTTTAGGCACGAATGTGTTATACTTGAAAAAACTATTAGCCTGAACAGTTTTTTTAATACGTGGTAAACTGAAATAAAATGGTTTCTTTCCTGTTCAACTCTACAGAAGCAGGGTTTCATATTCTTTACTAAGCAAATCAGAAACATGATCTACTACTATTGCTCTGCCAACGGCATTCCATCTGAAATGTCCTAGCTTCTCTACTCTAAAGGCTGTTAGAATCTAAACATTCTAGCAAACATATTAGGAGTATGTAAACTAAACACCTCCTTACTTTCTATGAAGATCAGCATGAGAGAGGGCAAAAGCATGAGCTAGCGGAACCAGACTACCTGCAAGTATCTGAATGTACTGCTTCTCTGAGCTTCATTTTCTGTACTTCTATATGAATGGCAATAGTACCTATGCACAGCATGTGAGGCTGAAAGAAGGTGTGGTTTAAAAACCTTATACTATACTCTTAAATAAAACAGTGATACACACATATTCATATTCATTTAAAAAATGAGGAGGCCCTTAGTACATATAAGCCAGAATAATCAGTAAATATTCCCTCAAAAGGCTCATTATAAAGTCTACAGCAGCAGGATTAAAGATGTGTTGAAAAGACTGGACAATATGGAAAGGCATTTACTGTTATGCTTGGCATACAATGAACACTCATTAAGCATTTGTTTAAAAACAATTTTTTGACTTAGCATTCAAGTCACCCCAGAAATGCCAATTGGGTCATACAAGCAAAAATGAGATGCACAAGGGAGCTCTGTTCTTAGCAGACTTACGTGGGAGTGCAACAACTGATATGCAAGGAGCAGAGTCATCAACGCTCTGATCATCCTCAGAGGACAAACAAATCCTCTTATGTGGAGGTTCAGTACTATCTTCTGAGTCTATTTCATCAGGGTCTAGTGGAAGGGGAAAAACAAAATGTTCAAAAATCTCAAATCAATTATGAAAAAACAAAATCTCTACTTAGTATAGCCATTTCTGCAGCAATTTTCTTATCCATTTAAAACCATCCTTGCACCCAATTGCTCACTTAAAATTCACCCAGCTACACAAGGTCTCAAAGATCACTGCTTTCTCCTTGCTTATATAGTAGTACCCAGCCCTTGTTCTTGTGATGGGCAAAGTGCCATCTTCTAACTAGCTTGGTTTCCAAAGACTTCACATACAAAGGAGAAGGGCTGGTTATCAGATTCATTCAAATATTTACTAGATGTCTATAGTCTATTCTGTTTGGAACAGTACAATGAAGGGCACCCTATCAAGAAAAGATACCCCAGGAAGGAAGGATACCTTATGAAGGAAAGATACCCTACAAAGGAAGTTATGGTATAGTGATAATGAAATGAGCAATTTCCAAACGGTGTACTCAGAGCTGTGAAAGTGGAATGGAAACGCCATCAGGACAGCACAGAAGAAATACATTCAGACTGAATGTGAAGGGGGTTTCTCTACCATGAGCTTAAAGAAGAAAAAACAGTGGGGCAGGAAAACATGTTTGTTCCTTCTGGCAGTAGTAACAGCAAAATATGCAGTAGAACTGAAAAAAGAAAAAAAACTCATGAAAATAAAATGACTAGGAACTATTAGAACATGATCACATGAACTGTGACAACTGTGGCAGGAAGGAAGGCTAGGAGGAAGAACATAAAGTATCAAAAGTGCCCAAAATGTTTTCTCAGAACATCCTGGTAAGCTTTCAAACCAACACCAAGAAATGGGAAAACTGGAGAGAAGTCCAGGGTTAGCCAGATGAGAAAGATACTCTGACCAAACAAAGAAGACCTAAAATCACAGATAAGTGGAGTTTTTAAACAGCATACCTGTAGTTAAAGTCATGATTTATTCTTAACTATGACCAGAGACTATAAGTAAAAAAAAAAAATAAAAAAAAATAAAAAATAAAAAATAAAAATAAAAATAAAAAATAAAATATAGGAATAAAGACAGAAACATGAGCCATTATCATAGGTAGCTAAATGACTGAGTGAAATAATCCAGGGATTACAGAGTAATAAGACAGAAAGAAGCTTAGTAAAGAATGAACACACACGTACAAACACACACACACACACCACAAACTTCACAGACTTTTGAATCTTAACAATCACATAAAATCCTGTTGCCTATATCAGCATCAATCACTGGCAGAAACTGCAGAACTACTTCTAAATGTTCTAATGTGTCAAATACACTTCTGGTAACAAATAATATAAAAATGTATTATAGCTATTGTGCCATCTTCAGAGACTTATATCCCATGTAAAAGAACTCCTAGACTAAAATTCAGTTAACTTAAAAATACTAAGGTATTTTTTTTAAACACAACATATAAACTAATATTAATCCATAATCTGAAGACACCATCACTCATGACCTAAGCTATATATGTGGGTAACAAGACAAAATGGAACTGAGACAACCCCAGTTTCAATGATAGTCAGCAAAGTCTCCTACCATTCTGAGGGCAATGAAGAATGAGGTTCCCGTCTGTGTCTTGAGTAAATGTCACAGAGTTCACAGTTTCTACTGTTACTGTGTCAGAATCCTCTTCAACTGTGCTCATACTCAAATCTGCATGAGAAGAGACTACTGAAGGATTTACAAAATCATTTCCAGACAGTACATGAAATCCACCTAGGGATCTGCTTATAGTCTTTACATGGAACTACAAAGGGGTTCAGATTTCAGGAACTGCCTTCCATAGTACCTACCCACTATTTAGAATTGGGATCAATAACCTGCAAGAATCTGACCAACTCTGATGAATAACCCTTTAAATTGACTTTGTATTTTGTTGCAACAATGTCCTTTGTTTTCACAATTATTTTCTACCACAGCCACAGAAAAAGAATAAGTAGTTTATCAGCAAAATTCAATTTTCAGTTATGGTTTAGTATTTTCACTGGTAGTTATGTACTATGTTCTCACAAGCTTTTTAATATCTGACTCTTACGTTTTTTGACGGAGGACATAGTAGTGATTGAACCTAGACCTTTCTGTTTATACTTGGCCAATGGTCTGCCAATGTGATTCCAAGCCTGGTATCTTTAGCTAATTAAACAGAGCTTCCATCTTGATCTAATAATCATTATTCTAAAACACCTATTATGAGTATTTAAGGCATGTTACCTGAAAAATAAAAACACCAACCAAGCCTTTTTGTAGTAGTAATAGATCTGGGAACTACTTTTTTTGTTTGTTTTTGAGACAGGGTTTCTCTATTTAACAACTTAGAACTCACTCTGTAGACCAGGCTGGACTTGAACTCACAGAGATCTGCCTGCCTCTGCCTCCCAAGTCCTGGGATGGAAGGTGCCACCACCACCTGGTTTTTTTTTTGGGGGGGAGAGTGGGAGGGTAGGAGGATGGGGAGGGTGTTTAAAGTGCCCTTCCTTGCTGCTTTATATGTAACATCACATTAATTTGTGCTTACACTCAGGTTGAAGGTTTGGAGTCTCAGAACACAGTCAGTATCTTGGGGCTGGATAAATATAATGGACTATCAATGGCCTGATTGACGTCTTTAGAATCTTATAATATAGTTCTTGTCTTGGAAGTTTTTTTTCCCACATAACTTTTTAAAAATTAATATAGACAAGTCTTGATGTGTATTTAATTAATTACTCAGTATCTGACATAGGTATTAGTCCATTTGCACACTGTTTACTATTTAAACAAGTATTTGGCAAAAAAGGCAACTATATTAATATTTATATGGTAAAAATCCAATGAGTACTATAGGTTTACTGTACAAAAGAACATAACTTTCAAGATAAAGATGAATGGAAATCATGATATAGTATGACAAACCATTAGGTGGGTTTCTGTAGTAGAGGCAGGCTTACCTAGACCACGGATGGATTAGTTACAGCCCTTCCCATAGAATCACGTCTCTGTGCTTTGGCTAGCAGCATCACTCTCATGTTATCCAGACTGTTTCTCCTCCATGCTTGGGCATCTACAGCACTCTAAAACAATAATAGCATTACATAAGGCTTAAGAACAGTAGTATGTGAGTACTGGAACTAACACTGTCACACTCTGGCTTCACACCTCTGATGACTCACTCAGAAGAGACAAAAGCACAACTTTCTTCTGAGTGCATTTTATGGAAGTCAGCCTCAAAACCAGTATAGTACAATAGGCAAAAAGACAGAAACAATCCATTCTTCATCTACTTAGAGCACATATGAAGTTTCTCAACCCAAGCTGTCACTCCTTAGGCAGATGTCCTTCAAAAACACAGATTTAGTTATACAAATGGTTATGGTAGACCTTGGGACCATGGTAGACCTTGTGCAAACTCACCTCATATGAAAAACTTACATTTCCAGTTAATGTGTTCTTTCATAATGATTTATTAACATCTCTAAAAACCCTATTTTATCTTAAAAACATTAAAAAGTACTTACATTATCTATTCAATCAGCAACCACATTAAAAGGACAGGTGAACAACCCTATCTAGGAATCTGTAACAACCAATCAACTTTTCTATTATCAGGGTCAGAAACACTTCCTGGGGATAATTACATTGTTAATAGATCACTCAGTATGGAGAATAGAGAAGGCTGTAAGTTACAAAGATATATTTAGGAGGTGACTGTGGTGTGGAAATGTCACAGCACTCAATGAGAGATGATGATCAGAGATTATCTATGCTTTGGAAGCAGAGCCAACTAGGCTTTATGACACAAGAATGAGACTAAGAAATTGGATGACATCTCAAGGTTCCTGGGCTTCTAGCTTCAATTCAAGATGAGGTATTTGATCACAGACCATTTTTTATTTATATTAGTACTAATTATATGCAAATGTAAGACATATATAGTATTTAAATGTACAGTTGAATATTTACATTGTACTCAACAGGCATAAATAACACCTTTAATTCTGAGTTAATACAGTATGCAAATTATTTTTAAAGACACCTAGAAATTAAAGAAGACAGCTTAGATCCTAGTTCCAGAACGCTCTTACTTACATATGGAAGTCAAGAGGAAGGCAAAGGGCTGGCTTGGGTGAAGAGCATCTGATGCTCTTCCAGAGGACCTGGGTTTAGTACCCAAGCACCCACATGGCAGCTCACAACCATCTGTAATCAGTTCCAGGATCCAGCTCTTTCTTCTGGCCTAGTGGTACACAGACATACAATGCAGGCAAAAACACTTATAATAAATCAATTAAAAAAAAATCGAAGAGGAAGACAAGCAGAGAAGACTGAGGACTAGTTAGTGACACAAATGGACAACTAGTTAAGTGTTCAATGGGTATTAAAATGACTAACTGTCAGTAAGATGACAGACATGTTCATTTGATCTGGCAATATGGAGAACACTCATGACCTAAACAGAAGTAATTTCAGTGGACTGGGAGTGGGTGGCAGAGAGTCCAAAATCCACTTTGAAGGTAAAGAGAATGGGCTTACGACAAAAGAGTATTTCTGGCATTACAGAGAAAGGATGACAAAAAGAATCAAACCAACAAGTAATTTAGTGCCTGTATTTTAATTCATTAGAAACAAAATCATGCTTGACATTGGAAACTTTTTACACTCCAACAATACCTGGAACCTGTTTTGACCAACCCCAATAAATCATTGGTAAAACCCCTTTATACTAATTAGAAAAGAGAAAACACAATGAAGGAAAGACAAATAACATTTTAATTGGCAAACGGATATTCTGGTATATGCCCATCATTTGACGAATTAGCTTGAAACAACAAAAACTTAACGAATTCAAGAAAAACAACCTATAAATGGTATAAAGCATTTAGAGTCATTATTAGGTATGCTCATAATCGAAAGATAAACCTTTCACTTATAGTTCCTAATAGAGATGATTGGGGGAAGGAGGCATGTAACAGGGTCTCATAATGGAGCCTAGATTGGTGTTAAATTCATTACCCTCCTGTACCTGCCTTTCTAGAACTGGCACAACATGCTTGTGTCACCATCTGACTCAAGGTGACCCTACTTATTAAAATACAATAACCTGGTGGAACAAAAAGGGATAAATAAGTACAACAAGGTAACATTTGCTATTTAATACAGAATCCAGCAATGAAATAAGTTTCTTATGCTCTCCTTCATTTCAGTATTGCTGGAAAATTCTTAGGTTCATATGTCCATTGGGTCTTCTTATTACCATGAATTTTGGGGCAGTCAAATCTAAGCATCTCAAAAGTAATTATAATAAAAATAATAAACAAGCAGTATAATATCTTCCTAATTTAGGTCAACCCTGTCCAAACAGACACTATCAGTGGTGATCATGAGAAGCCAGAGGCAACACAGGCTGACCCAGATTACTTACATTCAAATGGAAGATGGGATGGAGTTATATGGCATAGGAAAACCCACTAGTGAGGACACTAAAATGGGAAATGTACACTACAGAGAGATGTAACTTAAGGTAGCAAGAACATATTTAACTAACAACCATCCATTTCTTTTTAACACTTTAATGATTACTTTTAGTGATCTTACTCTTTCTCCCTGTTTAGTTTCTATGCTGTGAAAAAGACATCATGACCATGGCAACTCTTATAAGGAAAAAAATTTAACTGAGAGGGCTGGCTTACAATTTCAAGAGGTTCAGTCCATTGTTACCATGGCAGGGATGTGCATGGCGGCATGCAGGCAGATGTGGTACTGGAGGAATAGCAGAGGGTCCTACATCTTGCAGGTAACAAGAAGTCAACTGACAATCACACTGAGAGAAGCACAGCAAGAGACCTCAAAGCCCACCCCCACAGTAACACACTTTCTCCAACAAGGCCACACCTCCTAACAGTGCCACTCCCTTTGGGGGCCATTTTCTTTCAAACCACATTTCACTCCCCGCACCCCAAAGGTTTGTAGCCATATCATAATGCAAATGCAAGTGTATTCAGTACAATTTCAAAAGTCCCCATAATCTTTAAGTCTCAAACTTGTTTCAAAGTCCAAAGTCTCTTCTGAGATACAAGGCAGTATCATAACGATAATCCCCCTATTTAAAAAAAAAAAAAAAAAAAAAAAAAGCAATACCAAAAAGCAGATCACGTTTCCAACATATAATGGCACAGTATATACATTATCATTTCAAAAGCAGGGAAGGGAACATAAAGAGGACCAAAGCAAGACCGAAAAACAGCTGGGCACACTCCTAACTCTGCAGTCCCATGTCTGATGTCGTAATGCTCTTCAGATCTCTAAGGATGTTCAGCATTGTTGACTGCAACACACTTCTGTCTCTGGGCTATCTCTGGGCTGATTCCACTACAGTAGCAGCTCTCCTCAACAGGGTATCCCACGACTCTATTACCTTCAACATCTTGGGGTCTCCAAGGCAATCTAGGCTTCAACTGTACAGCTTCATGAAATGTCCTCTCTTCTAGGCTTTCCATTCAGGGATACTCCTGACACATGTCTGCCATCCTTTCTTCTATCTTTAACTCTAAAGCCAGGACTATGTGGCTGAAGCTGTCAAGATTTGCTGTTGCTAGGGCTAGAATATGGTGCCTTTGTTCCATCAATTACAGCTTCTCCAGCTGTCTTTCACTGTGTAATCTTGCTCTGCTAAAACATATTCTGTAGATCAGGCTGACCTTAAACTCAGAGATCAGCCAGTTTTCTACCTTCGTGATGCTGGTATTCAAGGTGCACCTCACCACACTCAGCTCCAAGCTTTTCTTCAGTTCCTTTTCACAAACTGGAAATTCAGTTGGGTAAGATCTTGCCCTTTGAGGTCATCACTCCCTTTATTCATTTATCTCCTTGAACAGAGGACTTAGCTTCATTCTACTTCCTGGTGCCCCTGTTCTCCTCAACTATTTTTCTGTGGTGATATTCTGTTTATTACCTGACAAATAAAGCTTTCCTGAAGGTCAGAATACAAAGTTAGCCACACTAGTTAGCCATAGAGACCTTTAATTGGTACATACCTTTAATTTCAGCACATGGGAGACAGAGGCAGAAGGATCTCTGTTAGTTGAAGGCCACCCTGGACTACACAAAACTGATAGTTAAAAGAGAAACAGATCACACTAAGGTGATCCCAGCACTTGGGAGTGGCATGCCTTTAAACTCAGCACTAAGGATGTGGAGACAGGAAGGGATGTGGCTGGGCACAGAGGAGAATATAAGGTTCGAGGAGACAGGAGCTCATGGTGGTCTGAGGCAGCAGTCTAAGGGCAGGATCATCCTTTGATCTGAGTACTGGTAGAGGCAAGAGCTTCCTAGTAGCTGGCCAATTTGCTTCTCTTTTAGCTTTCACCCTAATAGCTGACTCAGTTTTTATTAAGACCAAAGAGAATTCATGTTACAGTTTCCCTTGCTCAGCTTACTTTTTTTCATTATAATATTCACTGGAGTTACCACTAATATCCACGAGAGTCTATACTAGGCTGTTAGGAGATTTGTTCTGACAAAAGAATTAATTCAAAACTCTTCACATTACCCTCAGGCAGACTCTTTGTATAAGGGCAAAAAGCAGCCAACCCCTTTTCCAAAATATCATAAAAAAGCTTTCTAAGCAACATACCAAAATTATTCTCCTCTGAAACCCCTTGATCCAGCTCCAGACCGTTCATTAAATCATACTCAGCATCACTGTTTTCCATTTTCTTAGTAGTATGGCCCATTAAGCAGTAATCTACTGTTTTCCTAACCCAAAGTATCAAAGTCCATATTACTCCAAATGGTGTCATAGTCAGGTATATCACAGCAATACCCAACTCCTGGTAACAACTTCTGTCTAAGATTTCTGTGATGCTGTGAAAAGAAACCATGACAACAACTCTTATAAGGAAAACATTTAAATGAGGGGGCTTGCTTACAGTTTCAGAGCTTCAATCCATTATCATCACGATGGGAGGATAACGGTATACAGGTAGATATGGTGCTACAGGAATAGCTGAGAGTCTTACATCACAGGAAGTTGACTGAGCCACACTAAGGCATGCTTGAGCAATAGAGACTTCAA